TTCTGGCCCAAATCTGTGCTGAGTCTCAGGGAGCAGTGAAATCAGCCACTGTGACAAGAAGGCACCAGGTGAGTGAGCACTGGCCTTGAGAACAAGAGATAGGCTCACCTGCCAACCCTGCCAGTCTACAGTGCACAGAACAACTCTGAGGTCATGTTTAAGTCACCTGTAAGCTGAGCCTGGTTTCTTCAGTAAGTAGTTTTGAAAAGACTCGGTCAAATAAACATATGGAATTTCCTAATATATCTGAAAATGAGGGCTTGATGGATAGCATTTATCTTGAATGGCAAAACCTATCATTTTACATCCCATTTGTAATATATCAGATCCACAGTACCATCTGTGGCCTGTCTCTTTGTCAGGCCACCAAACACCAACATGATGTGCATGTTCAACTCAAATATATAAACTATTCATGTACTTATTTATGTGTATTTATTTATATTCATTATATTTCACTAATTTATTTATATTTTATGTTTATCTATATGATGTTTACTGTTAAAGTATTTGTATTATATTGTTTATCATACATTTAAGATGTTCATTTATATTACGTGTATGTTATATATAATAATGGATTTCATTATGATATTTCCAAATGTGTCCAGGATTTAATATCCTCCAGACTATATTTGATCTCATGTAGCTGGGGAGATTCTTGAACTCCTGACTTCCCTGTACCTCCAGAGTGCTGGGATTATAGTTGTGCACCACCATGACCTGTTTATGTGGTGTTTGGAATCAATCCCAGGGCTTTGTACATGGTAGGCAGGTACCTTACCAACTGAGCTCCAACAATCAATCCTAGATTTTTGTTACCTCATTAAGAAAATGATTTAAGATGAGTATGGAGGTGCATGTCTTTAATACCAGCACTCAGGAGGCAGAGGTAGGCAGATCTCTGAGTGTGAGGCTAAGCCAGTCTACATAGAGAGTTCCAGACTAGTTAGGGCTACATAGTGAGACATTATCTAAAAGAAAAAGAAAGAAAAGAAAAGAAAAGAAAAGAAAAGAAAAGGAAGGAAAGGAGGGAAGGAGGGAGGAAGGGAGACAGGAACAAACAAGAAAATGACTTTAGTGCTGGTGAGATGGCTGAGCAGGTAAAAATACTTGCCACCAAGCCTGACATCCTGAGTTTGGTTCCTCAGGACCTACATGGTGGAATAAGAGAATCAATTGTTGCAAGTTACCCTCTGACCTCCACATACGCATGTGACATGTGTATCCCCTATCCCCACAAATTAATTTTGTAAATAAAAATTAAATAAATACAAGTCATAAAAATGACTTTATAAGAGTAGAGTCAACACAAAGGAATCATTTATTCCATGTTTCCAAGCGAAGCCAGCCGTGGTCAAGCAGGACCTTTGACTTATCTTCACATAGGCAGAACTGGTAAAACACAGGAGCCAGGGGCTCCTCCAAAGCCCATGTGAACCCTGAGGAACAGATCCTCAAATGACCTTAAGAATAAAAATAAATTATTTTATCTGGGCCAACTGTATGGCCTTAAACACACAAAAGGAAAGTATAACCAAAGATTAAAGGGGCCAGTATAATTTTTAAGAGTCCTTATGTACAGCCAAAGGCTACATAACAAGCAACAATGCTAGATAGGAGATACCTTCTTTTGAGTCGTTGGCCAGGGTGGCCAAAGGGACTTCCAGATAGTAACCTAGCATAGAACTGGGAAAATGACCAGCAGACTTCAAATTATCTAAAGGAATATTGTCAACTGATTGCTGCTAGATGAGAAAGAGCTGACCC